CCCGCCGCGAGCGCATAATTAGATCTTGAAATTTAAATTAGCCTGGCGAATCTGACTATTCCCCAACGAATTCGGATCAAGGAAACGCAAATACAACGCGTCGTACTTGCCTGTCTATCTTTTCGATGTATAAATGTATATATACCCGAGACTCTTATCTAGCTTTAGTAGTCACGTACTCGTTGTAAAGATGATTGTAGATTTACTTTTTTTAAAATTAAAATATGAGCAGCGCACAACCTAATTTGCCCGAAATTATCGCTGCTCGTTGTCAACTTTATGGGAGCGTGTGCTTGGAGTTCTATTTAACGCAAAACCGCGCTTCGTTTCGCGCCGACCCCTCGCTCCTTCATTCTCTCGCCTTTCGACAAAAGAGATGGACCCACCTGTTTCATCGCTTTTCAACGAGACTCGAGTCGCGTGCTCTCCCAAGTACGCGCGCGAGCAGAGCGTACCTATACATACGCGGTCGCATTTTTGGGCGAAAGTCGGACGTCTCCATTGCACATTAGCACATGCCGGTCCTTCACAAGAGATCCTGAATTATGACTTCCGTCGCGTGCTGCGGCAGGACTACCTGCTGGCGGGCCCTTTATGATTGACGCGATCTTGCGGCTAGACGGTCATAAATCAGCAGCTCGCTTGTCCTACCAGCACAAAAAGAGAAGTCAAGGACGACGAAAAGTTGCGCAAAAGTCAACAAAGACAGGAATCCGATCGGTTTTCCGTAAATCATCTGCAAAGGAGAATTGTGTGCTTTTTTCCGCCGACTCAGCGTGTGACACAGTTCGTTTTTTTTTCTCTCCTTCCTTTCTTTCATCCATTCTCCTTTCTTCTCCGTCTGCCCATCTCTTTCGGGGAAAAAGGAAAGTTTTGCGTGCGACGGGTAATTCGTAATCAATTCATGTTTGCGCGGTTAGAAATTTGTCGCGCGGCGCGTGGGCATCGGCAATTTGAAATGCAAAGCACTCGGCGTGTCGGGAGCATGTATTTCAACGGAAAGAGGAACCGACAACAAATAAATAAACAAATAAAAACGATGCAATGCCGTCGCGCTTCCGGCAAGAATGCCTAATCGTTACGGTTCCGCTTGCAAAATAGGTCGCGAGTGCTCGATCGCGCAAAACCGAAACCTTAGTAAAGTGCGCGTGGCGCTTCCAACGCGAGCGTAGACGCGACTAGTGCACTCGATAATCGATAATCGAATTAACCGTCTTATCCCCAACACCTGTGCAGTTAATCCTACGTGGGTGTGACGCTCTTTCTTTCATTCGCCAAATAACCAGTGCAATTTCACTGCGCGACCGACTGTCCTTTCGTAGCGTACCTGGCCGTATTTTTTCGTGCTCTTGTTTTAGCATCGTCTCGCTCGAAACTTTGTTCGATGACAATACCTGTTATTTGTAGAATTTTTATAATGCCAAACAGAGCTCCGAGTCACGATAATGTATTATTTTTGTCCGTTTGCTCTCGCGAGGAATGCGGGATTTTTAATTTTAACGTAAGGCCGATTCGTTTGTCTTTCGTTTGAATAACTGCCAGCTACGTTTGATAAACGCAAGGTAAACAAAAAATAACTCACGTCCCGTCACCTCTTCCCATACACTGGCTGCGCGCCGCGCGCGGCGAAAAAGAACAAAAGGCATCACACCGATATATACACTTATTCCCCAGTGCGAGGGAAAATCGACTGGCCGATTAATCAAACCGCGAAATGCGGGCGCGCATGGCAATGTCAAAGTCAATATCAAACGCGTGAAACATCCTGAAAATTGCACGTTCTCTCCTCTCTCTCTCTCTCTCTCTTTTTCTTGAGCCTTTATAATTTATGTGCACGCGAGCGCTGTATACGCATCGCGCTCGGGAAATATATAAATGCCACGAGAGGAGATTTTTATTTCGAGAAAGCGTCTTGACAGATGTTTGCGTTCCTTCCCGAAATAAAGAATTTGCCACTGCGAGCAAAAGAAAATCGTCGCGAGACTGATCCGGCCGTTGATCCTGATCGACGATTAGCGACGAAAAAGGGAGCGCGGGAATGAGAGAGAGAGAGAGAGAGAGACAGAGAGGCAAACGGTAGCTCGTTGTATCGATCGCGTGGGCGAACGACGCGAGAGAAGAGAAGAAGCCGGTTCAACACGGCAGCGGCCTCAAGGTCGCGGTTTTTCAGTATCGCCTGCCAAAAACTCTGGTTTTATGCCTTGTAAGGCTCGTCCACTTCCTGCTTTTTGTACTTCCATCCCGTTTTCGTCCTCTTTCAAGCTCCTTCTTCTGCGCCATCGCGTGGATTGCTCGTTATTGCAAACAATTCTTCCTTCGCTCCTTCTACGATTTGACTTTGCCGAACCGTCTCAAGAATTATCTAAAGTCAGTTACATTATAAAACGCAACACTCGTCGGCGCATGAAAGACGCGAGGATAAAACGTATAGATTGCGCACGAGAGGCGCTTAAAGTCTTTTGCGCAGGCATACGTGCGTTCCGTATGAAAAGCGTCATTTCAACCGAAACAATAAAGGAAACCACAGTCATTAAGCATGAACCGCGCTAATTTTCTCTAACCCGTTCGTGAGAACGGAGCGTACGTACGTACGCGCCGCTCCCGAGCTCGAGCCATTAGGGTGTTGCAGTCAAAGGGCGGGTACTGGCCTGGCGCATATAATAATTAATAATCCGCGATCGGTGAGTGGCTCACTGCTAGAAGCCCCGCCCCACCTGATTTATGAACCGCAACGCCTTCTCTGTCATAACCGCGGCGGAGAGAGACAACGCGAGCGAGAGAGAGAGAGAGAGAGAGAGAGAGGAGGGAGATTTTGTGTAGGAGTGGGCGCATACGGCGTAGTGGGGGTGTCTCTCATAACTGGGATAGCTGGTGGGGAGTAAAGGAACGAAGGGGGGAGCGACACGATGGAGAGAGAGAGAGAGAGAGAGAGAGAAAGAGAGAGAGAGAGCCGGTTCTCCGACGGCAGAGTCAGTCGCTTTTCGTCCTCGGTCGCGTCGCGAGCGCTGTTTACGCTCAAAGCCATCCAGAGATAGAACATGAGATAGCTAAAGTGGATGCTTTGTGTGGCTGTGTGCGTCGTCGTCCTCGTCGTCGTTGCTGTTGTTCGAATCGATCATGCAGCTGATGCGTTGGAGTATCAATCGACGGCTCGAGAACCGTAACGGCAATGCTGGCGATAAACAACGCAGGAACTGCCAACAGGCGCCGAGACTCGCATACTCCGGTAGGCTACGTGCATATAACACATCCTAATGTATTGCCAAAGTGCAGTGCGCGCCGCGAGCCCGGCTCCTATGACGTTCTCGACCAAGTCGTTTCCGAGGATGTCCCGTTAGGACCGCACCGATCGTTGGAATAATTTTCTCGTTTGATTATAATCCACACGAGCCAGCCGGCTCTCGGTCTGTCGCTCGTAAATTGCCGATGATATTTATGGTGAAAAACGACGAAGAGAGATATGCCTCGGGCCTGTCAAGCTCTCGCCTAGTAAAGAACAATGAAACGGCGCCTCTTTAGTAACGCGTTATTAATCATCAGGCGCACGACTGTGTAAAAACATTGGCGATGTGATCAAGAGGTCCGACAATCAAGTGCTCACCGCCTCGAGGCGAGGGACTCTCGATACGGGCATAAGTCATAGGGGGTGCGCGATCGTTATTGAAGATAGCCAAATAATAAAAACAACGGCTTCCAACGGAGCTCGGCACGCACGCGTCGATTTACATTTGGAATGCGCGCGAGCGCACCACGGCTCAAAATAGACTTGATAGTGTATTTATTGCACCATATTGGAGCATTTGATTTACGGCCGAGCCGGAAAATTCTTTGATTCCACGCGCTCGAGTCATAATTTTTCCGTGTGGAGCGCGCTGTTTCGAGCGAGGATAGGAAGCAGGAGAAAAAAACACGGAAAATTAACGCTCGTAGTGCGTGCGTGCGTGTGTGCGTGTGTTTCGTTTCTTATTTGCCATTGGTATTATATTTGACACATCGACAGCGCGGAAAGCGCACGCACAAAGCCCGGCTACGAAAGCCATCGGGTTGCAAAGGAACGATTTCCTGCGCGAACGGCGAAAAATACGTGGCCGCGTCGAGAGAGCACATAATCGCACGGCGACAGCGTAACATCAATCGGCTCCCTCCTAAACGTGTCACCGGCATAATAAGGCGCAGGTAAAGCCAGCGACAATTTATGCGCGCGTCTTCGCCATTTTCCAGTGCGTGCAGCGTTAATAACGCCGGCGAGCCCTTTGCCTATATAACTCGCTGCCCCAGCTCGTTTTCATTTTCAACGCGCAGTAACATTAATTTTATTGAGCCGTGCGCGGAAAATGTGTGCGCGCGAGTGCGTATAGCTTTTAAGCTTTAATTTTTACGATCCATATGAGCATGTCGCGATAGCCATCGCCGTGCAGTTGAGCGCTGTATATAAGGGCATTAAAGTATTTCTCTCCTTTAACGGCTGACTTTATTTTCGTTCTCGGGCGTCTTTAAGATTGGAAATTGTCCCGCAGCGGCGAGGTGCTCGATCGTTAAGCCGCGCCTCTCCTGCCGTTCTTTATTTTTTCACGAGATAAATTATTCAAAACTGAATCTCAATCATAAGTGTGCTTTTAGGCCTGCTACTTATTTTGGAATTCCTCGACGCATACATAGCCGTGCGCTATTGTGCGCCCGGTTATAAACATAAATTATATCGATATTTCAGCGTCATTATACATCGATAGCACTCCTCTAAAAGGCCATCTAACGCATACATTACGCTTGATTCGATAATATGCTACACAAACAGCGACACAACGAGCCGTACATAACAATAAATTGTGCCTGCCCCTCCCCCGCTCCTGCCCTTCCTACCCTTAAAGCGTTACAAAACTCGAGCGAGCCTCGTTATTATCCCCAATGGGAAACGAACGCATGTACACTGCACACGCTGTGGCGGCGTGAAAGTCTGGCTGGAAAACTAACGTGCACTGTTTCTGGCGTTGCTGTTGTAGGTGAAGAGAATGACTCAGCATCGGACGGCGAAGAGGCTGCAGCCGGGGCAATGGGCGAGGAAGCGGTGGACCTCACGTCGACTCGCTCGCACCACGAGGACGAGCTCGACGAGGACGAGGACATGGACGAGCAGGAGGAGACGGAAGAGCCAGCCACACTCAAGAAGCTCGACGACGACAAGCGCATGCACCTGTGCCAAGACGCCGAAAACAACAACAGCTTCGTGGAGGCCGGGGCCGCGCCGCCTCTGGCCGCCGCCGCAGCCGCAGCCGCCGCGGGCCTGTTCCCCGCGGCGGGCACTAGTCACGTCACGCTCGAGGCCCTGCAGAACACCAAGGTGGCCGTAGCCCAGTTCGCCGCGACGGCGCTGGCCGGCGGCGCCGACAGCGAGGCCGCCCTCCAGGAGCTCGCCGTGCTGCAGAACACGCTCTACACGCTGCAGCACCAGCAGGTCTTTCAGTTGCAGCTGATAAGCCAGCTGCAGCACCAGCTGTCCACGGCGGCGGCGCAGTCGGCCAGCGAGCCCGGCGCCGCCGCCGCCGCCGCCGCCGCGGCCTCGAGTAGACCCGAGAGCAAGGAGGCGTCGCCGTCGCCCGCGGCGCTCATCCAGCCGAAGCCGCTGTCGTCGCTGACGTCGCCGGCGCACTCGCGGCCGCCCAGCAGCCACCTGCTGCAGCAGCCGAGGCTGCCCTCGCCGCCCGCGGGCAGGGAGCAGGACAGGCCCGCGCCCGCGGGCAGCGCGTCCCCGGCGCTGAGCGCGGCGCCGGGCGGCGGGCCCTGCGGCGGCGCGAGCAGCCCGCCGCTGCCGGCGACGGCGCTGTCCGCGGCGCCGACGGCCGGCAGCCAGCCGGCGCTGGCCGCCTCGCATCAGGTGCCGGCCCTGTGCTCCATCAGCTCCTCGCTGGCCTCGTCCATCATCACGAACAACGACCCGCTGCCGCTCAACGAGCCCAACACCCTGGAGATGCTGCAGAAGCGCGCCCAGGAGGTGCTCGACAACGCCAGCCAGGGCCTGCTGGCCAACAACCTCGCCGACGAGCTGGCCTTCCGCGGCTCCAAGGGCTCGCGCATGTCGCCCTACGACGGCAAGAGCGGCGGCGGCCGCAGCGAGCCGTTCTTCAAGCACCGCTGCCGCTACTGCGGCAAGGTCTTCGGCAGCGACTCGGCTCTGCAGATCCACATAAGGTCGCACACAGGTGAGCGCCCCTACAAGTGCAACGTCTGCGGCAGCCGCTTCACCACCAAGGGCAATCTCAAGGTCCACTTCCAGAGGCACCGCGACAAGTTCCCCCACGTTAAGATGAATCCCAACCCCGTGCCCGAGCACCTCGACAAGTACCACCCCCACCTGCTGCAGCAGCTGGCTGCGTGCGGCCAGCGCTCGCCGCCGCCCGGCGCCGCGGGCCCGCAGCCGCCGCCCGCGCCGCCGCCCGGCGGCCCCTCCCCCGTGTTCCTCCCCGCCGCCGGCGCCGTGCCCGGGGCGGTGCCGCCGGTGTCCTTCCTGCCGCCGCAGCCCCCCCTGCCCTTGGGCCTCGCGCTGCCCCCGGCCCTCTACCGCTCGCCCCTGCAACTCGGCTCCGCGCAGCCGCCGCCGGCCGCGGGCGCGCCGCCGGGCGCGCGCGACGACCAGGACGGCCCGGCGGACCTGAGCAAGCCGAGCCCCTCGCCCTCGCCGCAGCACTCGCCCAACTCGCATCATTCCTACCACGAGCACTGCCACAAGCCGGACGAGCTCGTCAAGATGGAGCATGAGCGCTCGCCCGGCCGGGAGCTGCTCCGCCAGCAGCAGCAGCAGCACCACCACCACCACCACCACCACCAGCAGCAGCAGCAGCAGCAGCAGCAGCCCAGGCCGGCCAGCCGGGAGGGCGCGCTGGCCGAGCGCATCACGCCCAAGAACGAGCCCGAGGAGAGCGAGGACATGAACGAGGAGGAGCCCGACGACTTCGAGGCCGACCCGCGGCGCTACGGCGCCGCGTCGCCGGCCGCCCAGCCGCACCACCAGATGTACGAGGACTGCAGCATGGAGAGCAAGATCAGCGGCGGCCGGATGGAGCCCGGCGAGCTGGACGCGGACGAGGACATGGACGAGCAGCCCGAGAACCTGTCGAGCAGGGCGAACCCCGCCTCGATGCTGCAGCAGTCGATGGTCTACCCGGGCGCCTCGCCCACCAGCAGCAGCGCCAGCAGCGGCAGCATCCAGACGTCCTTCGCGAACATCCTGTTCTCGGGGCTGCCGCCGCACCCCTCGCAGCTGGCCGCCGGCCACCACGCGCAGGCCCCGAGCCGGGCGGGCGGCGCCGCGCCGCCCGCGGAGCCCTTCGACCCGGCCCGCGACCCCGCCATCTACTCGAGCCTGCTCCCCAAGCCGGGCAGCAACGATAACTCGTGGGAGAGCCTCATCGAGATCACCAAGACCTCGGAGACGTCCAAGCTGCAGCAGCTCGTCGACAACATCGAGCACAAGCTGACCGACCCCAACCAGTGCATCATCTGCCAGCGGGTGCTGTCGTGCAAGAGCGCCCTGCAGATGCACTACCGCACGCACACCGGCGAGCGGCCCTTCAAGTGCAAGATCTGCGGCCGAGCCTTCACCACCAAGGGCAACCTCAAGACTCACATGGGCGTGCACAGGGCGAAGCCTCCGCTCAGGCTGCTGCACCAGTGCACCGTCTGCCACAAGAAGTTCGCCAACTCGTTCGTCCTCCAGCAGCACGTCAATCTCCACACGAACGACCCGACGGAGCTGACGCCGGAGCAGATTCGCGCCGCCGAGGTGCACGACTTCGCCCCGGCGGGCTACCCGCCTCACCCGCTCGCGGCCTTCCTGCCCGGGGCCTTCCCGCCGATGCACCCCGCCGGGTTCCCCCTCGGATTCCCAGCCACGGCCCGGCAGCACGCGCTCGAGAGACAGTCGATGGACGACAACGACTCGAAGGAGTCGTTGCATCAGCAGCAGCAGCAGCTGCATCAGCACATCCAGGCGCAGCAGCAGCGCTACCTGGAGGAGCGCGCCGGCAGCGCCGGCGGCGATGACGTCGAGGAGGCCGACGACGAGGAGGAGGACCGGCGGGAGGACGACGAGAGGTGCGTCGACGAGCGGCGGAGCAGCGTGGACGGCGACGACGACAAGGAGTCGCACAACCAGGACGTCGACTCCGATATTCCCGATCACAAGGACAGTCTCGTCCCTCGCTCGCCACCCTCGTTTTCCACCTCGCTGGCCGCGCTCGAAAGCCAAGTTCGCACCATCACCACCATGGCGGCCACCAGTCAACAGCAGCAGCCGCCGCCGCCGCCGCACAAGGCCTCGCCGCCGCTGCATCGCTACAACGGCAGTGAGAAGAGCAGCAGTCCTCACGCGGTTCCGGCGCCACTCGACCTGACGCCGCGCGCCTCGTCGACGCCAGCGAGCTCGGCGAGCTCGCCGCCGACGACGCACCACCCGTTCGGCATGTTTGCCGGTCTACTGCAGGCGGCGCCAACGAATAGCGCACCAGGCCCGCTTGCCTCGCTGACGAGCTCAGCCGTCAGGGCTGCCACTTCGACCTACAATCCGCTTGGTCTGGCGGTCGGCGGCTCGGCAGGTAGGCGCTGATGACTGACGAGCGTGAAAGGAGACAGACGACAGGGGCCGGGACACCCGTCTACACCTCACTCTATTTCTCTATCACTCTATCGCTTTATCATTCTGTCGTGCTTACCTGTAGGCTCTCGATGATGATGACGATGATGACTATTATATAGGCAATGATATCCTTTGTAGCCTCGACTACGCTACGACATTTATTTTGAGGAACGATGCATTGTAAAAGCCTTTAAAATAATTCTATCGAGACTATTATCTCTTCGATATGGAATAATAAATATTTATATATAAATATTATCTATATATATCTGCACACGATGTTTGTAAAACGGGCAAATGGACATGTGTTTTTTTTCGCTGTGTTGTGCTGTATTAAGGAGAGCCTAATACGTTATTATTATTATTATTATAGTTGTTCTGTCGAGTAGACGTTATCTGCAATTGAACCAGCAAAAAGAACCAGCAACAAATTTTAGTTCTATAATTTATTTTGGAATGTGACAATAAACGAGTTAATTATATCAACATTACATTGATGTTATTTTTCTTTTCATTTCTTTGTTGAGTGCAAATTACACAGGTTGTTTTTTAAAGGCTTCATTCTCTATAACCTTTTTCGTGTGACTAAAAACTAATATGCAACTCTACTCCCTGAATCTCAATGATGCCGTGAGTCCTTATGTACTTGGTATACTTGGTGTAGCCGGACCCCCACCTCAACACTCTATCTCCTTCAACGCTCTTTGTGTGTGCTTTGCTCCTTTCACTTAGATCTTAATTATTCTCGTCTGCTCATAACTCTGTTATATACTTACGCGCGGATATATTCTCCTCGCTCAAACACAATATGCCCATGTATCTCTCATTTCTGTGTAGGATAAATAACGCGATCCCGCGTTCTTATTCAAAATATTTTTCTTCGATTCTCCAAGTCTATGCAAAGATTTATGGGCCTTATCACTTTGTAATATTCATTAACTAAGCAAATCAATGCTATTCAAGCTCGCGCACCTCGCGCTTGCATAACGTTTGCGCGATCAAATATATAAATCATTTTCTCGCAATCCATCGATCATTGGCTGGCGTTCGCCACAACTTCTCGCGTCGTCGCGCAGGCTAAACTGCAACGCATGGCCACGCAATCTGTAGCGTTGCGCAATAACCGATCGTCTTCTACTTCCCTTCTCTCATGCGTACGCGTACGCCCTTCGCGGCAATCGCTATCACTGGATGAATCGTCGCTTTCGTGCGCAGGCCTTCTCTCTCTCTCTCTCTCTCTCTCTCTCTCTCTCTCTCTCTCCTTCGCGCCTTTGCCAGGTATTATCTTAATACATCCTGTTTTACATTTTAAATACGTCGAGCAGCGCGCGCCGTTTGATCTGTCGCCCGCGTGCTTTTCTATTCAGATCTGAGGCTGCTGCTGCTGCTGCCGTTGCCGCTGCCGCTGCTGCTGCTGCTGGCTTCTTGTTGCCCTATTTGTACGCCGCGCGCGCGAAGCGACTCTATTCACGCCTGCTGCACGAACTCTGTGCGTCGAATTATTTGGCCGATGCAGGACAATGGGCTCTCGCCAGCAGGAGAGAGGAAAGAATCGCGCGAGCCCGCTTCATTAATAATTGAAAGGCTCGAGCGCGCGCCAGTTTTTATCGCGTAATAATAGTCGTATAATGCGCGTGTGGGCATTTGCGAAAATTTATGCGCGTCGCGGTGTACGAGAGAGCAACACTTAAGAAAAGAAAACAATTTCTCTTCTTTTGTTGTTTTTTTTTGGTTTTTTTTGTTTTCTCCGACTCGTAAAATACATAGCGGCTTGTGTCTATCAGGCATTTAAATCATCGCACGATCTGTGTTGTTGCAGTGCGCGGCAACACCACATGCAACATCTGCTACAAAACGTTCGCGTGTAACTCGGCGCTGGAGATTCATTACCGGAGCCACACGAAGGAGCGACCCTTCAAGTGCACTATCTGCGAACGTGGCTTCTCTACTAAGGTAACTTTTATCATCCTGACAAACGAATGTGTATATGTGTATATATGTCTGTCTGTCTGTCTGTGTCTACCCCTCCTTTAAATGCCAACTACTGCACGAAAGGCCGAGAGAGAAGAGAGAGAGAGAGAGAGAGAGAGAGAGAGAGAGAGAGAGCAAGAGACACGAATGTGCTTCTCTTTCTTTTTCTAAATTTGGCACGAGAGAGAGAGAGAAAGAGAGAGAGAGAAATCCGTGGGAGAGAGATTTAACGGAGGCTGCAAGCGCAGCGCTCTGACTTATCGATGATCGGTGCTACTACGCTGCTTTTGGACATAATGCATAGAAGCGGGTCCTTTTTTCGTACATAACACCGTCGGCCCATGTTCAGTTGCGCCGTAGTCACGCTTTTACCTGGGAAAGCCGATCAGGACGGACGATAATGCAGTTGAAACGTTGCCACCGCAGCGCTACACACGCGCGCGCGCACGCACACAGCATATGCATATTCTCGCGCACAATCGGGGAAACGAGCTGTAAATTATTTATTTTGCTAATTGCTCATTACTCGCAGATGAAGATACTCACGGGGATTTGAATTTTAAATTGGTCACCGCCGCGACCGCGTTTGCAAGTTTTTTCGGATAAACGCTGGCTTCATAATTTGTAAAAGGGGGTCGCCGATCGCGAGGGGAGATTACCAACCAAGAATGTCAATTAAAATTGTTGAAATTTATTAGAATCGGCTTTGCGCCGCATCTCTTGACATTGCGACGATGGGCACACTGTGTGCAGTCTGCATTTTACTTAAAAAGTCTAATTATCTTCCGTCCCCATTTCTTACCATGCGGCAAGTTCTACGACAATTTGTAGACATTCGTATATTCCTTTGGCTTTCGCTTTCAGTAAATACATGTGTGCCCGCTTAATTTACACGTTTCCGGTTTCTTATCTAACGATAGTTGTTCCATATCCCAGCGTGCCACGAACCAAATGTGCATCCCAAATGAGACAACCCTTTTCTGTAACTTCATCATCTAGCTTTTCTGCTGCATTCGACTATAGTTTACCCATGCAAAAGAAAAACCTTCAAATATACTGTAATCGTGTTGTTTGGATTGACTAACGAAAAGACAAACAAAATAAAGAGTACGAGTGTCAATGTTGGCGTGATAAAAGAGACAATGAAAAAGGAAAACCCGAAAATTGCAGAATGAGGATGCGGGAGCGAAGTCGACGAAGTGCAATTGCTTGGCGCGGGCGCGTCGAAGCTTACGCGAGAAGGAGCGCAGGAGGCGCAGGGCCGAGGAGCGCTCCCGGGGGCGGACTGGCGGCCTCGACAACTTGGCAGCGGGGGCCAACTGCGCAACCGCCGCAGCCCCGCTCTCAGTGATGCCGTCCGCCCTCGGACTACTGGCCTCCGACCCCCTCGTCCTCCTGGTAAGATCATGCACCAATTTTCAATCTCTCTCACTCTCAAAATCGCCTCTAAAAACAAAGTCCGCAAACTCTTGTTCGCTCGCTTCGCATCAACTCGTCATCTTCATCATCTTCGTCATCGTCGTCATCGTCATCATCATCGTCATCATCACCATCATCATCATCATCATCATCATCATCGTGTGCTGTTGCTAATATACGCTTATCTCGATGATTCACTTTTTTGCGTCACTAGCATTCTTTGTAGACGAAAATTGACATTGTGTGGCCGCGATTTGGAAACGACGCTTGTCATTGGAATTTCGTTTTCGAGTAATACAATATGAAAGGTACAACAGCATGAATAATGCAATGTTTTTTCGGATTGTAGAGTGGAGTAATCGATTATAAATTCAATCAACTTTCGATTGAAACTCATTTTAGAACGAGCAGCCGATTTCGTATTCCGTTGAAATTTCACTTCCACGATTTCATGCCTCGACTAGAATGCTCTAGTTTTCTCGAGAATTGGAATATTTATGCACGCGGTCTTCACAATAAAATTGTTATGTATATTAGTCTCGTAACCGCGACGAACTAAAAAATTATTATTATTTCCAAAATCATTCGTCAGTTGTGAGATACCATAGTTATTAACCTTGTTCTGACTTAATTGAGCATCAATTATTGCTCGAATAGCATACATCACTTCGATAATGATAATATTCTAAATTGCAAATATGCAAGCGCTCATAACTCACTGCACTAATTGAGACACTAATCAAAATATTACGCCTAGTATTTTCCAAGAATAATGCAACTTTTGTATCTCATAATCGCGGAAAAAATGATTCATCGCAGGCTTTATCTTCTCTGAATGTTTAAAGCTCGAGCAAAAGATAACAGTGTTCCCGAAGTGTAAATGAACTTTGATAAAAATGTCCATTACTTTATATGCAAGGCAAGCTCAAGACAGTGTCTCTGAGGCGCGTATATGTTATGTATATTACGCGCATTATGGAAATGTTTGCATATTTATACACGTCGTCGCTCGCTTCTGTAATATTTTTTTTCCTTTCCACGACGCATAATCGTTTCCTGGTGCATAATCGCGAGCAAAGGCTCGTGCTCATATCTCTATCTGCGAAAATTTATTGTATTTCCCCTCGTGCTGTCGTACCATTAAGGAAGTCGTCGCTCAATTATAAAAGCTCGACGTTTTCGAAGAATTATCTCTCGTACACGATTGTCTCTCTCAGTGTCAAATTAATACGTTTGCATGAACTTCATCTCTTGGAGGTTACTGTCGCGAGCGCGACAGCAAAAATACAATTAATCATAATTCGCTATGTAAAGAACGAAACAAAGCAAATGCAACAACGCCCAACGAATGTATTTCCACAGGGCAACATGAAGCAGCACATGCTCACGCACAAGATACGTGACATGCCGCATCATTTGTTTAGCGACTCCAAATCACAACCTTCGATGCCAACGCAACAGACACCGATACCACCTCCGCCGCCGTCACAGCAACCAATCCTAGCGCCGGCAAGTCAACCGATGCACGAGCATCAGCTTCATCACGAAAGATCGAGAAGTCCCGCGCCGGCCGACGAATCGATGCCACCGCAACCTCAGCAACCGCCACCAGCGCCACTACCACCTACGTCAATGGTAGACGCGAGTATGCCACCGATGAAGAAGAGCATCGTGCCTGAGAACGACTTGTCTGCACCGAAAAGGCCGCCCAGTAAGTTGACTTTTCCTCTTTCGCTCCCAATGATCTGTACGTAAAAGTGCGTATATCGGCATTTGCATTCTCATCGGACACTTTATACATTCTCTATTTTGAAATCAGCCCGTCACTTACGCGTGGCTTACGTTAACGAACCGTTCTTTTTTTCTTGTGCTCTAGTTGAGAAAGACCGGACGTTGGCATTTTTATTCGACGCCGTAGAGCAACACACCAACTCGCGATGTTTTTGGCTCTAAATGCAATATTGAAAAGTAACGGATCCGAAATGAGAATGCACTTGTGGAAGAAAGGACTCTTGGCACTTGAATAATCTCTCGGGCATCTTAGCTTATGTGGTCATAACGTCATTATCTGGCTGTGTCGATCTGCGCAATCCCGCTTTGGTGCTGACTTACTTATTATCTGTCTCTCAGCCCTGCCGCCCCTTTGGCTATAACCGACCAGGCAACGCTCACGTCTAAGCACACTTACCTTTCAAATACACGCACACGGACACACCTGGTGGCAGGCAACATCCCTTTTACAGCTGACTGCATATCGTGCGCGTAAATCTGCAAGCCGCCGCCGGGGGCCTAAAGCTGCCTACCTAACCCCCCGAATAATCGATGATCGTACGTTGGTTGTACGTGTTCTTAGAATGCGGGCGCATAACTCGCACCCGTGATGTATGTGTACGTTGGCCCTGCCGCAAGCACTCCAGTGTGGCGAGCGCAGCTCTTTAAGTTCCAGTCTTGTAATGCGTGCGCGCGATAAAAACTGACTCCAGATATAAGCTTGTATGTGTATTGTGTGCTTCGCTTCTATGGCTCCTCGCTCTTCTTTTCTCTTTCTACTTTTTTTCCACTGTACACGTGTTCAATTTATTTCCGGAGATAACACATGTTTATTTACTCTCGCGACTTTGCAAAAGCGAGTTAGCGATAGAAATCGTATTTATAGAAATGCCGCATGCATTATACAGTGCAATAGACAATCCAAGCTGGCGTGCAAGTTGTATAGAGAATGAGGAGAGAAACGAAAAAGAGGAAGAAGCTCTTAGCGACTATCTTGTGTGTATGTGTATTTGCAGGCATATCGAGCAAGCACTTGTGTCAGGTTTGCAATAAGAATTTCTCGTCGTCTTCGGCGCTGCAGATCCACATGAGAACGCACACCGGCGACAAGCCCTTCCAGTGCACCATCTGCCAGAAGGCCTTCACCACCAAGGGCAATCTCAAGGTACCGCATCGCAACATCACAAGCCCAACAAATACAAAACATCAAACAATCAAACAGACAAACAAACAAAGAAACAAACAAATGCAAGGAGGAACGAACGAAGAAAGCACTGTACACCTCTTGGACGACACCTTTGCGTTCTCCTCCGTCTGGCGCTGCTGCTCGCTTCTCTGCATTCCTTCTCTCTCTCTCTCTCTCTCTCTCTCTCTTTCTCTCTTTCTCTCACTCTCTCTCTCTCTCACTCTTTAACGTGCAACTCATTACTAACATTTAATCGTGTATGTTCGCTCTCTGCTGCTGCGTTTTCGTCCTTACTAACATTTTATGCTGTACATAATTGGCGAGATGCGGCATTCTTCGGGCATTTATGTTCTTTTGCTCGTATGGCGACTGGGTATTGTTTGTAATTTTGTAAATATTTCAAACGAAATCCAAGATTTTACAGAAATTCATAGAATGCGTCGTAAGTCAGTTCGCTATGATTTGTGCCAACTATCCAGCGTACATATTGCTCGTATTTGTAAAATATTATTGACAGAGCGTTAACGTATCGATTCACGCAAAATAAAAGCCGCTTCACTAACGGTATTATAACATAGTCGGCCCTTCGTTTGCAGACTAATGAGAATCTTTGAGAAAAAAAGGGGAGCAGGTGAAATAACGTGCACCACGCGACAAATCCAATGATTTTCGAGTCCTCTTCGTTTCTTCTTGCTTCTTTTGTTTACGTTCTCTGACAGCTAGAGCCAAAGTTCACTAAATTTACTTTCAACGTCGCAGGTACACATGGGCACGCACATGTGGACCAACGGGGCGTCGCGTCGCGGGCGACGAATGTCGTTGGACATACCGTCGCTCCCAATCACGCCCAAGGACTCGGAGTTCCTGCAGCGCAGGCCGGACCTTTTCTATCCATACCTACCCGCGCCTTTCCTTAACGGCATGCCACAAAAGGTGAGTTTTTAATCATTCATTGCTTGTTGATCATCGATACGTATTTTAATACGTTATCGGAAGAAACTGCCGATTCAAGTAGAAACAGTCGACGTGTGGTCAGACTGAAGGTTGAATATCGCTGCGGGATGAGATAGACACGTTCTTTCATTCGTTCAACGATCTCATATTTCAGCATTACGAACGCAAGCTCAGGCGTGCGAGAACTCTGAAGTTTTTTTTTCAATTTGATAATCCATAGAAAGCAATTAGCATGCTTGTCGAAGCTCTTCATCGATATTCGGAAATAAGTGAGCTCGTTGTAAAAATCGTCTCTGCAACAAGCATCAAGACGATAATTGCGAATATAAAGAAATAGAAGATCTGCCCGCAACCGTTTCTGTTGCCACAGGTCATAGCTTTTGAATAAACCTCAAACAAGTCCTACTCGTTCTTACAGCTGAACGAGATCTCGGTTATCCAAGGTGGTAATGGCCTACCTTTACCAAACCACCCAGCAGCCAACAAGTACGCGGGTCTGTTCAATTCGGTATATGCCGGTGGCGCGCATTTCCCGATTCACCAGCCACCACCGGATCATCATCCAAGTACCACGCCACCACCGTCACCCGATGCCAATGCCGAGTGGAATGCTGCCGAAGCCATGAGGCACTATCATTACGAGAGAGAAGCTGCTGCGGCAGCACAGAGGCCCGAAGGTGATGGCTCGCCACCAAGGCTACCACCGCCACCACCGAGGGGCGAAGGTTTAGCGGCCTAGACGAGTTACAATTTCTGTGATGGATTCCTTAAAGGCACTAGTGGAATTTAACGAGGACGTAGAGGCTGTACAATGCTTGTGTGCGAAATTTACTTCGGACGCATGAGACGAGAGAGAGAGAGAGAGAGAGAGAAACTTTTCTTATTTTGTTGGTTTGCTTGAACTCGAGTTTTTCAGCGATTCATTTGGAATTGCGATGAATTCAATTTCTCCAGTGCGGCTTTTTATAAGTCAATGAGTTTCTCTCACTGCGTGTGTGTCACGAGCGAGTTTCGCTTTACAATATATGATTCGCGAGGTCGCCGCGTTAATTTGTCGACGATTGAACATTTGACGGACTGAGTAGAGCATTTGATCTTTTTTCTTTTTGGATTTGCGTTTGTCCAATGGAAATTCCGCTAGATATGCGCGCGAACGCATTAATATGCAGAATCGACACATTCGAAGAGTGCAAGTCGGACAGATTGCGCGAGTAAAACTCCCAAGCGATTCCACGCACTTCTTTTTTTGTTCGATGTCTTAATCTTTATTTCATTGTACATATACATAACGAGTTGCCCCACGATTGACAGCTCTTCTGCGGACAATTAATTTTCCACTCCTTCTTCATCCAGTCTTCCTCAATTCTGTTTGCTAGCAAGGTGTGCAATTATTGGACGTGGAAAATGAAGACAAGAAGTTTTGTATTTTATTGATACGTTCGTAAATAATGTTTCGACATACGTAGACTTATGAACCAAAGAAAACGATCGAGTTTTTTGATCCAATAATTGACATTCTTGCTGTAGGAGAGTCATAACCGGGGCGTATAAATCATCAACGCACATAGCTCTCCTTAACTCATAAAGTCGTTTCTAATGGGAAAAACAACATAAAAATAAAAGAATAAACAAGCACTGGCAGACGAAGACACCATGTTCCTATTATCACACTAGTCTTAACAATGTAAACGGGCGCGGATAAAAGACCGGTCGTTTGGATCGGCTATGAATCCAGATTTTGCTTTAGGATATTATCTCATAGGCTGGGATAACTCCGCACGGAGTCTCCATTCTTTTTTAGATTATGTATTTCTCACGCAGCGTCGGAAGTATCAAAGTACTTAGATAACTATATAAAACATGCATTCCGTTCTGTCGTTTTCTTTTTCTGCATTACCATCACACACGTACACACTATCATTATCGTAGAACTATTTATTGTATTATTCACCGATCGCCACAGTGCTTTGATACTTTTTCCTCTCTATCTTTCGAGAGACATTGAAGAATGTTATATGTGTTAGATATTGTTTGTTATTATACTTTTACCATGACGATTCTTTTGTTATGATACAAGTCGTTTTATATACGTACTGATGATATTGTTGTTATTCCATCTAGTTTTGACGCAGATCTGAGAAAAGATTGACAAGAAATTTGTACTTGGAAAAATTTTAATGCGACGCTGTGCATCTTCATTATTGCGTTATTATCGTTACTATTATTAAAAATCCATTTCACGAACACTACACTTGTCGATTCGCTCGATACTGGAGGTAAAACTGAATCGCTGCGCTTGAGCTGCTATATAAGTTGCGATCAAAGAAATTCAACATTCATGGCTACTTTCGAGTAGACTATAAGACGAAAAACATACGCCGCGTCTCGATCGACAGCCTCCGTATACGACCGTCCATTATAATTCGTATAAAGAAGAAATAGATAATGTTTCCCTCAATTGCGTTATAAACTGACGTTATAAATAAAGTGATTGGAAGTGAAAAAATCCATTATATACATATACGTGACATATGTATATGGGTATAAATATATATTATATATATGAAATTTATTAGGAATGGCGAATAAACGAAAGAAAAAGTGAGTGAAAGTGCATTTGTTTACACTCGTGATGTATTGAGTGATCCGTTGATGGCGCGTGTAATAAATTATTATTGCTATCAGTAATTATTATTGTAATATCCAGAATCGTGCGAGAGTGAGGTGTTTTATTAATTGTAAGTAAGAAAAAAGCGGGCCCGGCAGCGCCCCTCGCTGTGATATGAGAGGAGCAGCCTGCAATCACTAAACCAATGTACTTATATCCTGTACAATAGTATTATATAAATATTAATAAATTAATTATTACACTCTATTCGACATCGTGCGTAGAAGTGCACGTTATCGTGCAAAGTGAAAAAAACATAACTAAAGTATCAAAATAACGATTTCATTTTTAAACTAACTTTTTGTTAGTTTCTTTTACACGTACTCAAAACCAATGATTATATGCATTGCACTTTATTAGTATTTATTTACGCGTCTTTTTTTTATTTCGAAGACCAAAGCTTTTTCTTCCTTTTGCTTTTTTACACCTTCAATCTTATCTTTTTTTTGCATTTTTCTACTTCAAATGCGTGTCGCGTGTTTTCGGATTTTTTTTTTTTTTTTATCATCAATGAATACTCACTTGTGCTTGAGAAAGAGAGTAATGCCACCGCGTCAATTGTGCAATCCGATTTTTTACTGTATACAATTGATACGCGTTTCGGTTCTCTGCGAGAACAAAACTCGCGATACTGTGTGATTGTAAAATAAGCTTGATAGAATACATTGAGAAAAAAATACAATATTTAAGTGTGAAATTAATTTGATTTGTAATTCAAATTCGAATGAATATCTATAGATTAATGAAATTTCTTTGGAAGTGTGAACAATGTTGAAATAGCAAATGACAAATCAATTTGCTTGCACAACGCTTGAGCAAAAATAATTGGTGACAAAGTATGTAATTTACAAGTCATAGATTTTCCACAATACGTGGCATTATGATATAAAACCTCGAAGCATATCGAACATTTTTATATTTCAACGACATAAAAAGTCCTAAAATATATTTCTACGTTAAAAAATTGGTAAATCATAATAAGCACAGATATAAAAACTAACGTAACTGACAATGTACGATAAATATAACTGAATAAAACATCAAAAAATAGCTCGACAAAAGTTAGAACGGAAAGCTAAGAAGTATATAGGCTTAAATAATCACATGTATAAATCATGCGATAAAATAGTCAATAGATTCCTATGCAAGCAAACAAAAAAGCGTGTTTTTATCGGACATTTTTTTCCAACGTGGAGAGATTTTCAAATAACGAAAGAAAAACAATAGATACTCAGGTGACAAAAAATTAAATAAAATATAAAATGGTGATAGCGTCAAGCGCTGTGTATAATAAATATATTGTGAAATCACAAGACGTATGTTAGTACTTGAAAAATCAAACTTGTTGAAAAACAATTTTATCTTTGTTTAATTTACTAAACAATTGGGTATGAAAGTGTTGCCGTAAATAAAATGAGAACGAGAAAATACTATATTGTAAATATCTACGGGATTACGTGTGCATGTGTATGTGTGTGTGTGTGTGTGTGGGTGCGTGTGCCTGTGCGTGTGTGTGTGTGCGTGTGCGTGTGCGTGTATGTGTGTTTGTGCGAGCGTGTGTGTGTATTGAACCGAAAATTCGTGACAAGAGAAACCTAAGAGAGCGACCGAACAGGAAAATCGATGTACACATTTATTAGCATAAAATTACCAAGATTACATTGCGTTAAACAGTAGACTTAATGTATATTCATTAATTACTGTAAACAATACCGAACTCTTAATCGCCTCACAGTCTTGTGAATAATATGATCGTGGTATGCTCGTTGTCCAAAAAAGAAGAAAAACAGACCGATGAACTGCTTGTCGATTTTACGTTTTCTGTAAATATTGTATAATCCGTGTATAAACATGACTCTAATAGCCATGAGCGTATCATTGTAGTTAAATACGTTACGGATCCATTATATCTATATCACTTCAATAATAAACCATTATTATAATGACGAATTAATTAAAATTGACTTTGTTTATTATCCAATAACACTTTTTTCACATTTTTTTTCAATTTTCACATTAATCACAACATAATAAAATAAATACATTGGCCTATTACGTGTGCGTAAATTTCAAATGTGCACAATAGTTCCATCTAGCGGTTTTTGTCTGAACCTTTTATAAGAAATCTACTTTAGTTATTATCGATAAAGTATCTGTTGTTTTGATGATAAAAGTAGCCTGAATGATCTTTTATTGATAATGAATGTTGTGCTACGTAATAAAAATTATAACAACGAATAGTGACTACACGTCTTGAAAAGTTTTGATATAATATATTATAATAATATGTCATAAAAAATAAGAAAGCCACAAAGATTAATAAAACAATTTTATAATAACATGTTTTTAAATACCCTTTACGATATCGCGTAACGTATCGAGCTTTTAAATTAGAACTCCTACTGTCCCGGTATACTACTACGTATTTTTGGCGTGAAAATATTCAATTTTCGAGGTAAACGATAGAACTGTTTATTATAAAATTTAACATTTTTATTAAATTGGCGGAAAAAGATGTCTATTTGATTAACGGTTTAGTTTGCAGTTGCTATTTTTTCCCTTTGGTACAAATTGAATAAAACTAAACTTAACAAAACAATATGTGATGCACTCTTCTATTTTTAAAATTAACTGATTACTGATTACTGATCGTCATATGGAAAAGCAATATTGCAAGAGAAATAAAAAATAGAATGTTAGCTAATAGAATGTAGGCGATCGCCATTTGAAAATAGACATGTCTTCATAGAACTACGAAAATATAACAGTAGTCTTTATTCTGAGATAAAACTATTCTTAAAAATTTCTCTTGCAAATTTAATCAAGAATAATTTGATGTAATTAAACACGCTATTCTAAAGTGCATCTAAAAAGAAAAATGCGTTGATAGATGTTTTACGTGTTTTTTAAGATTGTCGTTAAAATTATTTATCGTCGCAATATGCGCAACGTAAGAAATGATGCGAAAAATTTATATCAATATCAATGATAAACAGATAAGCCATGCGTGGTTATCGTGAAAATATGTATCGCTCGATGTAAAGTATAATCACGTCGTGCGGTAGTTATGACAACAATTTATCGAAATAACAATCAACACAAAATCCGTTCGTCGGAATTTTAATTCAACAGTAATATTCCAGCACTATATTCCTCTTCTTTTATTTAACCCCACAAAACCCTTCATATTATTAATGAAAGCTTTATGGAAAAGTATAGAGTTACCGGCAGCCCCTAAGGTGACAAACTAATTCACCTATATATCCCTGAAAGCGCAATGTGAAAGCAATAAAAAAAGAAAACAAACGAAGGGTTGTGCAGTAACCCATGCTTGGGGTGGTCGAACAGTGGAAGCACCAGTGGCAGCAGTGAAATCAAGGATAAGGAGAGGGGGTCGAAAGATCGCGCGCGCACGCACGAACACAAAGTCGCGGACTCACTATCGACCAGAAATGGAGCAAGGGTGCTTATGGGCACTGCTGGCCCGTCGAAATCTAGTCTTAAAACGTGGCACTTATCCTGCGGAGCTTTTTCCATCCGTTCGTTCGTTTGTCCTTTTTAATACGAGATGACAAGGACACATTAACCTTTCAACTCATGCCAAGATTAATTGCAATTTAGCCATCGTGTGTTTTATATTCATTGCAAAAGTTGATTACTTATCAAATTTCCCGGATGTCTAAATGGATCTCGACACGGACTTAATTATATTTTTTTTGTTCATTCGTCTTCCGTGCAGCAGCAGCAACAGCAGCAGCATTAGTGACGACGGAATCAACGTACGGAGAGGGGGACTGCGTACTACGTCGACTGATTCGACAAAGCCCTCGTGAATTTTTGACGCACAGATGACGATGGGGAGCCGTGGCTGCAACATCGCCTGACACTCAGTGAGCAAATTATTTTAAGTATATATGGTTTCTGTCTACCTTCATTGTGTAATTATCTGGTTTAGTTATACCTCATAATTGATTGCTTAGACTATTTTCTCTCGAAGTAGGTTGTAACTTACTATCGTAATATTTTCTCGTTTTTTCCATGCCAGGTGAGATATTTTTTAAGACTTGCCATTTGCATCTATTGTTTCTTAAGTGCAACATTTTTCTTATCAATGGATTGACAAGTTTGACAATATTTAATATAATTAGATAAAATACAAAAATTTCGCATTTGAACATGATTTAATAATACGTTTGAAATCTAAATTTAATGTCACGCAATTAATTAAATTTGTCCTATTATTCTGTAAAAAAAGTATATGTGACAGCAAGATAAATAAAATATTAATATGTTGGTGCAAGTTGATACTTTGGCGAGCTGATAATACGCTTCGAGCTTTTAGCTTTAGAATTCATGCACACACATCTCAATTTCATGTCATTCAATGCAGGCTGCTGATAATCTAACATTTTTCATATGTATGTGTGTATATATATAGCACTTTCTTCAATAAATTATAGAAGAAAGGCGGGCTCATTCTGTTGTGATTTCGTTCCGCTGTAAAATTTAGGAATATAGAAAGCTTTATATGGCTAACTTTAAAATATTTGACTTTTCTTCTAATTAGAGTCATTAGAATTCTAATTTTTGCTTTAAATAGTCTTCATTGAGAAACACTTTTAAGACGTTACATATCAAAAATAGAACAAAAATTTATAGATAAGGATCATGTTTATCACAATATCTTCTTATCGTTCCGATATTTACTTATCGGCATCCTCAATATTGATTACTTAATATTTTGAAGATAAGAATTTAAAGTAATACAATGATTCATTGATTTCAAAAGCCAAAATCAGATGAAATTTTTGGCAGCCAAAAAAATTTTGTGAATATACTAGCAAACTGACTTAGTTGTAAATTGAAATAACAAAATACATCATCTCTTAATTAGATAGTATGAACAATTTTAGTCAACTTTATTTCATCATAATTGTTGTGAAGGATTTCTTAAAGCAAAAACATTGTGTACAATAAAATTATTTGTTAAAGTAACAATTTTTTATTTGAAAAATGATTACATTTTAAACTTGTTGACTAACTCCCTATTTAAAATCTATCTCTTCTGACATAATTATGAACAACAAAATTCAATATTATAAGCGTTAACATAGAGTTTTCGTGCTAACACATTAAAAAAAACGACTACTTTTTACACTTGTTAGATAACTCCCTGTTTTTAAAGTATTGCTATGCAAAACAAAATTCAAGACAATAAATATTAACAATTGCGTTTTCGTGCCATTGTATTAAATAAAGCTTAAAAATCTCGAAGATATAAATGATGTGTATACGTGCCGTATCTGCATTGTAATGCACGCAACCGATGTCAGCTACGTATATAGTGTGCTTTCATGCAAATATTTAAGTATTAGGCTAAAATAAATGGAATTCTTATAAAAGTAATTCTAAAATTCATTTCTTTTTTCGCTAAAACAGTACTTATATCTTTTGTTTAATCGGCAACATCTAGGAAATTGAAAAATGTTATGATATGTAAAAATGTATATAAATTTTGTATTGTGCATAAATATATTAGTAATATTATTTAAAATATATTATTGTCTACTGAGATGGTGTTTTTGTTGACCTCCAGTTGTTATTTCCCGTAAAGCTTCAAAGCTTTCAAGATAATCACGAAATACACTCAGTAAGCTAAGTTTCTTATCGAAAATATACACTATGGTTTTTTTTGCCAAAGAATAAGTTCAATTCGAATGTAAATGCTTTAACGAGATTTGCTGGAAAGTCTTTTGCAAAATATACACAATCAAGCATTACTTTGCATTTGAATTGTCAATGCTTTTAACGTAATTGATAAATTTATATGATTTTTGCAGATAATACTCAATAACAGCCAGATGACGATGATCAAATGGCGAAAATGTCGTTTGAAGTTGGGAGCCCGAAGGGAGGCATACGATTGAAAAGATGGTTAATAGGGCTACTTATCGTTTTATTGGCATCTTTGTTGGCGATTAATAGCTTTACAATCGGCCAATTCCAAATCATAGCGCACGGTACGACCGTCAATCAAGGTAAAAGCATTTGATCTATATTATTCATTTTATTGCAAAAAGCAAGTATCTCTATGTGTTTAACGCACAAAATGTTACGACGCATTCTAAAACTCGATTAGTTTATAGCTGCGACTTTCCTTGACATCAAGGATTTAACTTAATGCAGTGTCTACTGCGACATTCAAAACACGAAACTAATAACTAATATTCTAGGCTAGTGTAATCCTTAGGAAATCTTGTTTTGAAAAATTAATTAGTAAAATTGCAATAAATGATACTGGTGCGAAAGTTTATCTCAAAAAATCGAGTCTTTGAAGAATCTTCTCTTAAATCTCTTAAATGTTTGAAAAAATCCATTCTTCATCAGATGATAAATTGATTTAAATATTCTAGTAAACGATAAGGAAGCAAAAGCTCATCAGGAATCGACGACAACGGTGACATCAGTACAAAGCGGTTATGTAGTCAATACAAAGGGCTGCCAAATACCAGATTTAAGTCCATTCGAACCGTCGTCGATGAGATTCATTGACAAGGCAAAACCTATTGTCTGCGAATACGGCACCCACTTACCTCTGATCGAGTCTAATAACAGCGCGATTTTCGTCAATCCTGAAGCTCGCGGCCATTATTACAATGGGACTGAGAGTATCGATTGCTGCTGGCGCAGCTTTTGGCGATCTGACAATAAGGACAATGAAGTCACGTGAGTCCCATTTCATCATTTGCTCCAATTGAGTTTTCAAGTTTCTTTGAAAGCTCTTGAGGAGAGCTATTAATTAGAGGAACCTTAAATTGGAAATTCTAGTTATTTTTTGGACCATAGTGAAAAAATTGAACGCGGACTTACTCGTTATGAATTTATCGACTTTTCCTTGTGAAACTTCAAAATGCTTTAATCATAGTCGTAATCGGGGCAAAATAGTACTAACGTTTATAGTTCTTTGAAATCGTAATAACCGAGTACTTATTTACTTGTAACTATTTTACTTTGCTTATGAGCAATATAGATTTACCAAATTTGTTCCATAGATCTTCAAAATTCAAAATTTTTCCGTAAGTCGTTACACGATAATAGCACTAAATTTATTACCTGAAAAAAAAACGTATAATTCGAAACAATCTATATCTGGAAAGTATCATGTAATCTTCATCCAAACATTATATCAAGAAAAAATCTTTCAAGTGCTACTTGTCTGGAATATTTTAGCGTCAGCAAAGATTGTCACTTGTTCCAAGAGACAGCGTTCGTCAACGACGAGTTCATCCGGGTCGAGTGCCAGCGTCACAACGAGAGCATCTACCGTGACTACTTTTCCTTCGTACCACGCAAGCTGCACGTTGAGGAACGTTGCCGAAATTACAAACGTGACTTTCCCACATCGCCACGTCAACTGAGTGTCCTAGTGGTTGGTATGGATTCATTGTCGAGACTCAATTTTCGACGGTCGATGCCCAAAACTCTAAGCATACTCAAGGAACTTGGAGCTGTGGAAATGTTAGGATACCACAAAGTTGCCGATAATACCTATCCAAATTTGGTACCTGTACTCACAGGCTTGTCACAGGAGGAGTTTGAAAAGTTGTGTTGGAACAATCATAAGAAACCATTCGATAGATGTCCACTTTTATGGAAGAATTTCAAGACCAAAGGGTACAGAACGATTTTTGGAGAAGATGCTTGTTACATGACGACATTTAATTACCTCAAACCCGGCTTCAGGTGAGATTCTATTGATATTTGATTTTGTCTCGAGTAGTACCTAATGGAGCTTATCGTTGAAATATCATATAACAAAATTGCTATCTGTAATTCGTGGCTAGTATCAATCAATTATCTCATAATTTTCTTTCGTATTACGCTTTCATAGAAAATGCGCAATGGAAATTCCATTAGAACTAAAAACATTATTTTACTTCTTAGTCATTACAAAATATCACGGTATAAGAATTATTTATATGTATTTAACATTTACTTTGTCGTGAAATGCGAATTTAAATCAGTACAATTAATCATATTCGAGAACTTAAGAAAAACAATACCAACGTCGAAAATAAAAATGCACATATAGAGTAATATGAAGTTTATTTCAATGACAAACATTATCTTCAGAGTGCAGCCAACAGACTACTATCTAAGGCCTTTCTGCGTAGCCGCTGAAAGTGAAATAGGCAACACGCATAAACTAAACGCCGATTTGTGTCTGGGCACACGACTCAATTACGCCGCGTTGCTTCATTACACGCGCAAAGTAGCTGAAGAGTTTGCCGATGATCCATATTTTGGCTTTTTCTGGGAAGCAAGTCTTACTCATGATTACATTGAATATCCACAATTAGCCGACGACAATTACCATTATTTCTTCGACTACCTCGACAAATATAATTTAATGCGTAACACTGCTGTGGTATTCATGAGCGATCACGGCATGAGATGGGGTTCGTTTAGACAGACTTATCAGGGTCGATTAGAAGACAGTCTTCCTACGATGTTTTTAATGACGCCCGACTGGTGGAAAAAACAGTATTCTAATGCTTGGCAGCAGTTGCAGATTAATTCCAAGAGACTTACCACACCGTTTGATTTTCATGAGACGCTTTGGGATATTTTAGATCCTAGCCGTCTTATCAAAGAGGTTTGTATATTTAATAACTGATATCGTTTCGATCTAATAGAAAAGCGTTGCCCGCAAAAAGAAACTCCCAACGCGTATGATGAATTCATTTGCAAGTAGGGCAAAACTGATAAGAACGATCAAATCAATTTGTAAAATTTTCCATTTCCAGAACATTTCAGCGTACAATAGCTCATTCTGTCCTCGTGGTATAAGCATGTTCAAAGCAATTCCAGAGGAGCGCAACTGTGAAATGGCTGGTATCCCAGAGCACTGGTGCATGTGTCACGTACGTTACAACGTGTCGCATAACGATCCGATACTCGAGAAACTTGTTAATTTCTTGGTGCTAGAGATCAATGCGATGCTGAAAAAGCACAAAGAATGCGCGCAATTGCAATTTCAATCGCTCGTCGATGCAAAAGCTCTCAGCGCAGTGGTTGAAAATGACGAGAAAAAGCATCGGCCGCCACCATGGGTCGATTATAGCGTTACTATTAAGACTACACCTGGCAATGCTATATTTGAAGGCTCGATCAGGCATAATGACAGTTTCTATCTCATTGATACAATTAGTCGATTAAATGCTTACGGCAAACAGAGTGCTTGCGTTGATGACTTTCACTTGCGGTTATATTGTTACTGCCTATAATAAGAGGCCAAATATCGCCAGTATTTCTATGGCTATCCTATATCTACGATAAAATGGTAAAGATACGACAGAAAGGTACCTTTGAATATTTCGTTTTCTTCTCAGTAACTTGGGAATACCAATATATAATGAGTACACGGACTAATAGTACTTAATTTGAATAGTCTCGAGATTATGCTGCCACGTGTTGTTCCAAATATTTTTTACTACTAAATGAAAATTGAAAAGAAAAAGCTCAGTATCGTAAAATTTCAACGAAGCGGACGTAAAAACTTTTGCTAAACTTAAATACGTCGTAAAAATGCTACTCTGCAACTTTGTGATATTTTGTAACAATTGTACATAAATGTTGATAAATGTATTGTTATATAAAGTTCCATATTTTTTCATCTCTGCTAATAAACGGACAAAGTGTAAGGCCTATAATTCATTCTTCCAGTGTAAATTTGACGAAAAAAAGAAGCAAGAGAACAATTTTAATAAGTTTTTTAATGTAGATTTCTGAAGCGAACTTTATATATATTCACGCTGTACAATAATCTACGTTGATGCACATCGCGCGAGGCATGTGCAACGAAAATACAATATCATGCGTTAACATTTAGTCATTAAACTTATATTTCGAACAAAAATTATGTACAAAGTATAACTATTTTCACATTTGTTTTGAAGAGCATATTTTTATGTCTGAACGTAATTTGTTAAATATGTGTCGATATTTCAATAAAAAAATTCATTATCTTATTATTGTTATATTATTGCCCTGAACTAATAAATGAAAAGTAATAACAAAAGTCAAATGCAGCAAAATAAACAACGAAATTATTTTACTATACAAGTTATGTTTATTTTTAAATTAATTCATGATTTTATTTTAATAGATCACTCTCAAACACTTTTGTATGATCTTGATTTACAAACGTAGAAATGCATAAACACTCTTTCTGATAAGACATTCACACAGCACTCATATCTATTAAATTTAAAATAATTTAAATATTTTAAATTCATTAGAACCATCGCTGATGTTTACACAGAAATTAATTGATCATTAAACAGAAGATCAATTATTGCAGTCTTTATTTTACACTTCTGTTCCAAAATACTATAAATCTAAAAGAAGATTCTTATTTTAATTTCATTTGTAATCACATCCAAGATAGTCTGATATAGGCGTAAACGCGCAATGGACATTAATATTATGACACTAAATAGCATCACAATTCAATTAAGTTATTTTGCCTAATAAGGGATTCAGTTTCCTCTTAGTCCATTGTATATCCTATTCACAGAACTTTGATTCAGTAGTTTCCTTATATCTGAAAAAATAATTGTTGTACATGTCAACATATTTTTTGCTCAGTAATTTTCATATAAAACAGATAAATTTTCGCTAATTACCTTCTTTTTCAGTATCTGTGAATTCGGATTCGGGGAACGCAATATCAAACGTAATAAAGAGAGTTCCATGCACATTATTGTTTTCATAGTTGGGCATTCCCTCCCCCTTTTTTCGTAGTCGCGCACCTGGTTTCGTAATTTTATCTCTCGTGATTATAACTTTACGTCCATCCAAATGTTTAATTTCCAATGTAAAACCAAGTAGCGCATCTTGTAATGAAATTGTTACATTTGTATACAGATCATCTCCCTTTCTTTCAAAAACAGGATGAGGCTGTGTTTTGATTCTACAAATGAATATTATGTTTAATGAAATATTAATGTACAGCATAAACATTATAATATTAATGAAACTTACTTAACAATCAAATCCCCAGGTTCTCCATCAAGATGTGGCTCACCTTCTGCAACAAACTTTGTTTCTTGACCATCAATCATACCAGGCTCAATTTCCACTTCAAGTACTCGTTCTTCATTAACTAAAATTACATTAGGACATTCTGAGCAAACAAGTTGCTGTGTCATCTGGAAACGCCCATTTCCAAGATTACGTGTAACTAATTCTTGTCGACAATTACACTTTCTTGTTCCTGTTGCAGTTTTCATTACTGGCTTATTTCTTGTTATCTATTATAAAAAGCATAGCTTGGTAATTTTACATAATAAAAAACTTTGAAATAATGATGATCAATTAACATTAATTGTATGTACCTCTACAAAATTTCCACTGTATAATTCTTCTAAGGTAACCTGAAGATCTATGACAACATTTGATCCTTTTGGTGTCTGATGTTGTTGATTATGTGATTCACCTCCAAAGAAATCAAAGTCACCAAAGAAACTAGAGAATGGATCCATATTGTTCATCATGCCATCCTTTTGCAAACATTCTTCTCCACATCTATCATACTTTGCTCTCTTCTCTTCATCCGACAACACCTCGTATGCTGCTCCAAGATCTTGAAATTTTCGTGAGGCATCAGGATCATTTTGATTCTTGTCAGGATGTAATTCTTTGGCTAATTTTCTATATGCCTTTTTTATTGCATTAGTGCTTGCACTTTTCGTAACACCTAATATGGCATAGAAATCTCTCCTACAATGAAAAATTTGTAAATTAAGTTGTAGTTTATTGATTAGTAGATAAATGTATATAATAGTAGTTTGACAGTATGGATAGTCAAATGTCAATAAATACAGTTAATACAATTTAATATTATTAATAATGTAAATGTTCTTCGCTTAAACAAATACGGTGTTTAACATTTTTAATGTCTACGGGAGATTTTACGCTAAAATCATTGTGAATTAATTAATGTTCAACAACTTAAAAAGTAAAATATGAAATAGATAGATATTTTAACTGTTTACGATTCAAAAGGTTATATTTTACTATAAATACTAAAAAATCGTAAATCAAAGGTTGAAAATGTAATAAAACTATAATGATCATCAAGTGTAACTTACCCGGCGAGACAAATAACTAAATTTAACAATAAATTAATTAAAATAAACCAGAAAAATTGAAACCCTGCCATCCTAGCAGAAGTTTTAGAAGCCCCTGGATTTTGATCGTGGTCGCCTCCGATTGGACAACGTTTCAGCGTGGCCGAGCGTGGTTGCATTAGTACTACTAGATAGCATTTGAGATTGTGCTGGCAGCAACGCTCCATTATTTCTTTTAATCTTTTTTAATAATATATTACTATAATGGCCAACACGGCTTACGTTATGTTGATACGTGTTATTCTCATAGATGAAACGTAACGAGATAATTATCTTTCCTATTTTTTATTTAAAACGGAGATGATGTTTGTACAATAATAATATCATTATTGACTGAATCAATACAAATATTGCAATAAATAATGGTCTAGTCTATTAATTAAAATGAAATTTAATGAAATTTGTTTATTTGTAAGTGTATTTTTATATAGCTATATTGACTATTGAAGATTGTATATTTATATATAGACAAAAATTTGGAATTCAGCAGATTCTTAAAATGTAGTAAGTGTAATTACTATCAACTACCGAAGAAAAATTATTTTTATTAAGAAAATTCTTATCGAAAATATAAATTCAAGGATAGGACAAAAATAGATTCTCTCTCTACAGTAAATCAGATTATTTTCAGTCAGTATGCAATATCCATGTGTATTTGAATTCGCAGAGGAACGAAAAAATGATTGAGAGGTGCTGCCACGTTGGACAGAAAAGAAAATAATAGATATCGTATATATTTTAACACATATATGCAGTGTTGCAGGACTGCAGGAGTAGCTCGCCACGTTGAAAGACAAGTCGTTAATATCGATGGATGCGGTGTTTGCGATTTTCTCAAGATTTGCATAATTTTCTATTTTTTTAGTACTTATTGAAAAATCAAAAGGTATGCCGTGAAGTGCTATTCGTGAGCTTCTGAAGTTAATTTCGTTTCGGTTTCCATTCTAGTGCTCCACTTTGTATCACTTGCGGTATCATATGACATAGGTCACTAAACCTTTTAATTTCTCTCTAGATTACGAATAATATTTCTGAATCGCGTAATAAAGAGTCATTTGATAGTTTTTCACGTAATAATTAGTGGTCAATAGTTTTAAAGAGGTTAATAACAACAGAACAGATGTCTGTTATGTTACTTATTATGATTGATGCAATCTCAAAATCTAATTTATTAAATTACATTCTTACTGTTTATTAATGAAAGCTGTGCATTATAAGTAGTAAATATAGAAATAAAGTGATTATAATTAAAATTTTATAGACACCAAGATGAAGGTTAAGGAATTACACAAAACTGTCAATGTGGCATGGTCGCCTCCTTCTCAGTACCCAATTCTTTTGGCAGCTGGGACTGCAGCTCAACAATTAGATGCTAGTTTTGACACTAATGCCAGTTTGGACTTGTACTCGCTTAATCTACAACAGCCTGGCTATGATATGGAACTTAGAACTAGTGTTCCAAGTGATCAGAGGTATGAATTTGTTAGCATGATTTGTATTATTATTGAATAAAATAAATGGATAGTAATATATTACTAAAAATTTCAGATTTCATAAATTAGTTTGGAGTTCTGATGCTAGTAACCCAGCTGGTATCATTGTTGGAGGTTGTGATTATGGCAAAATCAAGATTTATTCAGTAGCCAAAATGCTGACTAATGACACTAATTGTCTAATAAGTAGTTCAGTAAAGCATAATGGACCAGTTAGAGCAATGGATTTCAATCCTTTCAAACCTCATTTGTTAGCAACTGGTGCTACAGAAAGTGAAATTTATATTTGGGATTTGAACAATACTGCTAAACCCATGACTCCTGGTGGTAAAAGTACACCTGATGAAGATGTTCAGGATATAGCTTGGAACAAACAAGGCATGTTTCATGAACCAGACTAAATTAGCAAAATAACATGCATAAATTGATGTATTTATTTTCTTATTCACAGTACAACACATTCTTGCCTCCACATTTTCACAAAGATGTGTTATTTGGGATCTTAAGAAGAATGAAGCTATAATAAAATTGAGTGATGTAAATTCTAAGGTAAAAACAACTTGAAATTTTCCATGTGTTCAAAATATTTTAATTGAGTATTACAATGTTTATAATTTTTAGGTGAGGTGGAAATCTGTGCAATGGCATCCAGATGTAGCAACACAACTTTGTCTTGCTTCCGAAGATGATCAATCTCCAATAATAGAGTTATGGGATTTGAGGTTTGCTACATCACCACTAAAAACTTTACATAATCATCAAAGAGGAGTTTTGTCCATTGCTTGGAATCCTCATGATTCAGATCTCCTTCTCAGTTGTGCAAAAGATAACAGGATTCTTTGTTGGAACCCCAACTCAGATGCTGCAGTAAGTGATATACCCTTTAGATGATTTTTGTCAATAAATACACGAATTTCATATTTTTTAATTATAATTTAGAATGGTGAAGTTACCTGTGAGTTGGCACAAACCCATCAATTCAATTTTGATGTGTCTTGGTGTCCTCGTAATCCTGGTTTGATTGTTGGAACAAGTGCTGATGGTTTGGCTACAGTTTATTCTTTATTGGGTGGTCATAATCACGCATCTGCAGAAACTACGAACAAAATAGTAGATTCATTTCCTGGTATGGATCCATTCACACAAGCTCCACCCATAATAAAAACAGAATCGGCAGCGGTACTTAAGAAAGCACCCAAGTGGCTGAAAAGACCTTTTGGTGCATCATTTGGGGTAATGTACAATCAAACTAGAACACCCAGTTTTAGCATTATTTTCATTTATAACAATGATTAATATATAATTATCTTTTTAGTTTGGTGGAAAATTAACCATTTTTGAAAATGATCCAGTTGATCCAAATATGCCATCAAATGCAAATCGGAAAGCTTATATATCTCAAGTTGTCACAGATCCCATACTGATTCAACGTTCTAATGAATTGGAGGCTGCTTTAAAAAACAATCTCTTTGGCAACTTCTGTCAGAATAAAATTGATACTGCACCTGACGAGCTTAAAAGAAAAATTTGGAGCTGTGTCAATGCTTATTTTGGTGAAAATGTAACGCATGAAATATTGTCACTTCTGGGGCATAATATTGATGAAATGAATAATAAATTAAATCAATTTGTACCGCGACAAGAGGTTGAAGCACTTACTGATGGCATTTCAAAGTTAAATAATGTAAGTGATTTTCGCTTGTGAATCTAAAATTTCTTTTAAAAGACATATTTTAAAGAATCAATGACAATTACAATAGAATATAAACGGTTTTGATGGAAGTGCTGCCTTTGATGCTATTGCTGAACAAGAACAGAGAAAGTCAATTACACCGACAAAAGCTTCTAAGTCTGTAGATACCGGTTATAGAATAAGCACATCCGACGGTAATAAAGCCAGTAAAATTAGCATTCAGTTTTGATTTCATTTTAAATTAAATAATTTCTTTTCAACATTCTACAGACAGTGAAGGTCTCATCACACAAGCCATCCTCTTGGGAAACATCGAGGCTGCTGTAGCCCTATGTTTTGAGAATAATCGATACGCGGATGCTATAATTCTCTCAATGGCCGGTGGACCAGATTTATTAGCAAAGACACAATACAGATACTTTAATGAACACTCTGGCGCTTTAAACTCGCTGATCAATTCAGTGGTCAGTGAAAATTGGGTTGATCTTGTTAAAAACTGCGATATTACAAGTTGGAAAGAAGCTTTAGTTGGAATTTTCACACATATTTCTCCCGCAGAACGAGGTGCATTGTGCGGTAAGCTTGATAATCGTATATTACATAACGTTGTTCGTTTTTATTTTATTAATACAATAATTTTTAATTTAATTATTAGACATTTTGGGAGATCGTCTTGCTGCAAGTGAAAATGACAATTTCAAGAAAGAAGCTCAGATATGTTACATCTGTTCTGGCAATCTCAACAAAGCAGTTGAGTCGTCGGACACTGGCATCCAGGAAACTGTTGAATTTGTTATGATACTAAAAAAAGCTCTCGAATTCCATACAACGCATGAGGTTATTATCGATGGTAGTACTGCGGCTGTGTTAACACGTTATGCAGAAATGCTTGCATCTGAGGGAGATCTCGATGCTGCTCTCAATTACCTCGGTAACAGTCAAGAACCAGGAATTGTCATGTTACGCGACAGACTTTATAAGGCTTTGGGGCACATCTCGATGGAGCCTCAACGTCAGAATTTATCTCAAAATACTGGTTACGCAGTAAGTATCAAACACACAACTATTTTCTTCTTAATTCGCTAATTATCTTTTTTTGTTTGTTTTAGCAACCAAATATATACGCCCAAAATCAAGCACTACCAAAAAAGTCGTTGCCAGGCAGCGCTCAAAGTACGTTCGCTCCCATTCAACAGATTCCTGCATCAGTTCAACCATTACACGTACCCTCGTGGAACACAGCTCCTACGAAACAACCTTACGGAAGTCAACCGTACGGAACTGCAGCGTCAGCACCCATAAACCAGTTTACACCGGCACCACCTATGTCGAGTCAACCTGCAGATGCGTACACCAATTTTGGCCAACAACCCATGACACCAGCTGTACCTCCACCACCTCCTGCAGTCAATCAGAATAGTGGCAGTCTGAGTGGCTCGAGACCGTCAAGCGTTGGCCCTCAATCCAAGTCGAAGTATATTCTAGATCCGTCTGTTAAATCTGGACCAACTTATGGCACGACTGGTTATGGACAAAATCAGTCAATTTATAGCAATCCTATACAGACACAGCCTTTCTCTTCACCAGGCAGTTTTCCTGCACAAACGCCGTATATGGTGAAATAAATTCTTAAGAATTAGCATAATTTGTTACTATTATTAAGCATTTGGTAGACTAACGTTTATTTTTAACAGCCTCAACAGCCACAGGTGATGGGAAATTTCGGAGGCTACGGCACTAGCCCAGCTCAGAGCACAATTTACAATTCGACAGAATCAGAACTCCAACAAAGGCCAATGCAACCAAGTATGTTGAATCCTAACACCATCAAACCGCAGTCAATATACGATCCGAGTGCCCTTCAACAAAATGTTCAACCTTCTCAACTTGCTGGTTATCCTAATGAAAACCAATATCAACCGGAACCACAACCTTCGGGATGGAATGATCCGCCTATTATGAAATCTGCTAAACCACAGGTATTTTTCTTTTAAAATATTTTTCGTGATGCCACGCTTGAGATTTATATAAGCCTTTTAAATGTGCATACATTTTTAAAGGATATGTACGAGATTTATCCTTAGATCGGACGTGGAATTGAAGTAAATTATGATTGTTTAAATTTTTTATTGGAAAAATAAATTAATAACTTTGATATAGAAATGGAAATACGCATTTTTAGATTAGCATAGATTTACTATAACTTATTGAATTTATTGTGTTTAATTCAATGGTATTATTAATAAATATTTAGCCAGTTATGGCTTTAGTAGCCAAAGCCGAAATGTGTGCGGAGCACGCTGGCAGCAGGAAGTGGAAAGCGAAATACACAAAGGGTATCGATGCGAAGGTAGAGACATTTGCATTGCCCTGCGTGAATTGATTATTCTGCTAAATATCATCGTTTTTTTACAATAATTTTTTTATAGAGCCATGTATGATTGTAGTATGATGCTTGGTTTTTCATATATACACATTCATATATACACAGGTCACGAAACGTTACGTTGTAAAAATCATTTATATGATACTTATCCAAAATATCTCTTTGATAATGGTAAAAACGTAACTCAAATAGAATTTTACTAAAAAAAAATCCTTTTGGCTGTTGAATAATTATTTATGTAATTTATTTTTAAATTTTAATGAGTATGCTAATTGTTAACTAACAATAAAATTTCTGCGAATTGGAAATAAACAATTGCAATTAATTTTTTAACAGCAAAAAACACAATTCCAACAACAAAACCCGATTCAACATCCATTGAGAGGAACAGCACCACCGCAGCCAGAACCAACAGTAAGTTCGTCAAAAAAAGTATCCTTCACTAGGAAAAGCTTATTCAATTACGTATAAATATGCAATCAACAGGTGTATCAGCAAGATTCAGGATTCCACCAGCACAGCTATCAGCAAGATCAACAAGCCATGTACAATCAATTTAATCAGTATAATCATAACATTCCTGCCCAAGGGGTACCTGGAATGCCAGGAGTTCCACAATACAACAGACCTGCTGAGCCGCCTGTGCAGCTTGCACAAATTGTTCGTGCTCCCGAGCCTGAAAAACCTAAAGCGCCCATTCCAGAAGAGCACAGACAGTTGCAAACGATATTCAACGAATTGAAAGATCAATGCTTTGAAAAGGCGAAAAATCCAGTAAATACTAAGTTGATTAAATCATAGTATATTTTTTGAATGACTATTGATTGAAATCTTTCATTATTTGTAGCAAATCAAGAGAAAGATCGATGACGTAAGTAAAAAATTGGAAGTTTTCTATGACTGCCTTCGAGAACAAAAAGTAAGTAACGCGCATACAAATAAAATTCAGTACTATATATTGAAAATAAACACATTAAAACGGTAAATATATATTTCAGATTTCACCAAATACGTTACAAGGTCTTCATCAAATTTCAAATGCAATTCAAACCGGAGACTATCCTGGAGGCTTAGCTGTACATACGCAGTTAGTCTCAGGACCAGACTTCAGTCTCATCGCCTCATTCATGCCAGGAATCAAAGTATTACTGCAAGTTGCTCTTCAGTTAGGCTCTTATATCAGATAAATAATCATTTTCAATGTGGAAGCTGGTTTCTTCCAGCTTTATGTTTCATAATTTTTTTATTTTTTACTTTATTTGCATTAACACTATCGATATCTAAAAGTTATAAAAAAAAAAATTGATTTTGGTAAAAAATGCTACTGAATGATACAAGAGGTATTCAGAAAGGAATAAATTTGTAAATAAATTTAATTGGAATTTATAATTTTCAAATTTTTAATTTGTTCACGTTAATAATGAAGTTTAAATTATTTTTTAGCTAAAATATAGTATCAGTACAGGTGCCTCTGTATTTGTTATAAGAACTTTTATAATGCGAATATTATTTCAAGTTAATGTTACGAAAGTCAAGGTTAAACACAGTAACAAAGAACTGAATAAGCAAGGTATATAAAAAATGAATATTATTTTGTATACTAACACTAAAAATAAGAAATAGCTCCAATTTTTTTAAATTGAAAGCTAACAAGAGTTTCGCAAACGTAGAAAACAATGGTGTGCACCATTTATCTGACAAATGTAAGTTTCTGCAGTAAAAACAAACTGTAACAAGGCAAATTTATTTGTGATGCGATATTGTTATTCATTGATACTGTCTTATATATCATATAGTGTTATTTATATTATATAGCAATATGTAAAATAAAATTTTTTCAATTATAAATTTATAACAAAGTAATACCGTTACTACCATTCTCAGTTTTGCAAAAATTGAATTATTGTTGAAGGTAAGAAGGTAAATAAATACTTTAAATAAGATAATATTTTTTGAAAGTCATAAAACTACTATTAATTAGAAAAATTACTTGTAAACATGTCGTGGAGTAAAACAAATATTTATTATTAGAAAAATCAATTAGTTTGCATTTTATCGTAAAATTAAACTATGTTGCAAGGCTTTCTTTTCATTTAAAATAAATCTCTGAAGCAATTCATCAAGTGGATCTACTCCATCTCTGGCCGCTTGCCGTCTCATCGTCAATCTTACTTCTTCGCGGACGCCTTTGTCGGCTCCTCTGGTAGATATTCTACGATCTATAAAACAGCAAAAAATTATTGGTTTACAGAGGATATCTTCATGAAATCTGTAGCTTTGATTAATACTTACTTTGTAAAATTCCAGTATTTACAGCTATATCAAGATGAACTCCTCCACCTTGTTCGGTCCACAAATATGTTAATTCTTCTAAAATATCAACATTAATAACATAAGCTTGGAACAAAGGGTAGCTAAAAGTTTTCCTGCTTAGAATTTGTTTTGTAAGCGCATTCAACATAAGTGCTTCTTGCGGCCAATCTATTTGCATTAAAACGAGTGCATGGCCAATAGCTAAATCACCACCTCCTCCAGGCCACGAAAAACTGTCCTATGATAAGTCAAATTTTATTGAGTGGTATTAAATGAAGCCAAAAAATAAAATATCATAATAACAACATACTTTAATAGCAGATAGAAGCAATCTACAACAATACTGCAACACGGGAAACCTTGCTAAAGTCAAATAATGTAAATGCCTGAGTCCTGGTATTGTCAAATTATGAGAAATTTTCCCACTTGTGCTTGGCAGAGAGTTTGCTGCCATTGTTATGTACTCAATCATAGCCTATAATATATATTTATAATTGTAAATTCAATTATTAAAGATTATACTTCGTAAGTAATAGTAATTATTCAAACCTTATAGTCTTTGACGCAAAAGCAACTACTTGCTAGTCGTAGCTGAGTGATCAAACTATTTGTTTCCTGTGGAAGCCTTAATAAAAGTTCATGATGCATGCCTTTGTACATAGCAAGGTCGTTTAAAAAAGGATTCAGCCAATTTTCTAAACGCATTTGTTGTACTAATTTGACAGTTTCCCTCTGCAAATGTTCAGTACTATGGATCAGATCATACAGTCTCACTGCCAAAGCTAATCCATTACCACTGTATTCACCATCACATGTAATTACAGATCCTGGAAACTCCTCTCTTTTCAATTTTTTAACTTTAGGTTCTGTACTGTCTGAAATACACATATTTAGAATTTAATATTGATATCATGTATTAATTCATGAACTATAACTTACATGATACAACTGGTTCCACGAAAGCTTCTACAAGACAGTAGGAAGTTTCATCGTTATTTATTAAAGAGGTATGTTCAGTTAATATACTTATCAATACTACTATTGAACATATTAACAATTGACGCAGAATAAGTTCTTCATTCAAGTTTGCAGAATTCAAACTTGCATATTGTTGAATTCTATCACAATAAATATCTCGATTCCAAGGTAATGTAAATAGATTGCTCAACTCCCAGCCCATCTTTTTACCAATTAGTTCTATAACTTGAAATAATTTGTCCCATGGTTTCTGAATTTGAGAATCTTGAGACTGTTGTATATAAGCAAAATAAAAATCCACTGCTTTGCATAACAATCTTAAGCTGAGTCTTGGATTCAAGTCAACAGGAGCTCCACCAAGAAGTGGCAAAGCCTCACAGGCCAATAATTTTCTAAATCCATTCACAGCTTTCCCTGGATGACTGTGTTTTTCGGCTGTCAATAAGGTCTCCACTAATCTAGGCTACAATCAATAAATTTGTTAGACAAACTCATTAACTAAAATACGAAAAGAATTAAGTATTTAATAAACATACCCCATGAGTGGCAATTGTTTGAGGAAAGCGTTTTAGTAACAATAATAATAATTTACAATGTTCCATAGTATCTTCACTGTGATCTGCAGTCATGATTAATAATCTATGCTGCAGATCTTGAGGTATGTGCTGAAACATTTGGCATAACAACTCTGCTTCCTCGTCACATTGTTCAGATCTTAGCGATGAAGTTATCCTCTCAATTTCTTTCCATATATCTCTATCATCAGGGAAATTTTGAAATCTAAAAAAAATGCATGTAAAAGTAGTAAAGGTAAAATATTTTTCTATAATTTTTGTAAATCTTGTAACTAACATTTCACTGAAGCATTTAGCTGCTTCTTTGACATTTTTTGACAGTTTCTCCAGTCTGTAAGCTTCAAACTAAAAAAAGTGTAATATAAATTTATTTGTAAATTTTCACATTTTATAAAATTTAATAATACAGTTAACTTTAATTTATATTCTGATTTTATTGATTTCCGTACCTGAATTTTAGCACTATGAGGAAATAAAGATTTAGCAGTAATCAACCAAGATTTAGCAGCATAAATATCTGTGGTTAAAGCCTCATTTGCTCGTCTTATTAGATAATCTTCTTTTGATAATTGTTGATTGTCTGTCATTTCTGTTTTTTCTAACATGATTTGCGTCAATAAAAATATACCTTACAACAATATAACAAACCAATAACGGGACACACAGTGAAATGTAAAATTACATATTTTCATCTATGTTTACTTCCAACAGTTTAACCTAAAAATTTAACCTAAATTTGTCAAAACATTCAATTGTCAAGTTATCCCATGTCGGTAAGATAAAAGATAATGTAGAAATTGTCTGGAATCTTCGATGACTGATGACGTCACGAAGGATGGCAGCACCGTAATCTCTTAACGCTATGCGACTTACCAATTCTCAAATTTTGTCAAATTTGAAATAAAAAAAGTTCAATTCTAGTTTGATCAAAAGAAAAGTGACTTCGACTTGTGCGCGCAGATGCAAACCTGATAATTTTGTATTCTATTCTTATCCGTCTTCGACTCTGAAAAATAGTCGACTCATAATTGATATTTTGAATAAACGGTAATAAACAAAAGAACATAGTTGTGAATAATGTATCATTATTCTGTAACAAGCTCTACTTTCAAACTACCTACACTTAGTAACAAAGGCATCGTTTGAAAATTGTTACATGCTTGCAAATGTTTTTAACCGTCGGAGTTAAGGATGTATTACTTGCAGAAACTTCTGCAAGCATACAATTTTTCTAATCCATGCCTTTGCGATACTTCAACGTACCTTATTTCAATCTTGTAAAATGTTTTTTCTTAGCTATTTTATGCGGAGAAGATGGCATGATTGAAAATTCTGCCTATACGTAGTTCTGTTGTTGAAGAATAAAAAGAAATGGCGATTCGGCCGCAAACGTTGTAGAAAAGTAAAAGCTCGTAAAAGAAAAAGATACTAGGGTAGGTGGGAAGGAAGAGAGCACATACAACAAAAGAGGCGTAATTTTGCAAATCCCATGAGCGATACTGGCCATAGGTGAGAGCGCTTCCATTTATAAAGATATAACCGCACTCTCGCTTGTAGCTTACGGCGACGACGATGACGCGGGAAATCGGCTTAGCGCTAGCTGCCGCTCTTTTTCATGCACCCGGCCCATCCTTCTTTCTGTATATATACGTGCTTTTCGCGTCAACTATATAACTCGCTAAGTAGTTACTGCTTTTTGGCCTTTTGTTCTCACCTCTCTACTATATGTATATAATACAACCGAACCGTCCTTCCATCTTTTCTCCAGCTTTCAGCGGTCGTTTTATGATAGTTCAAACGCCTAATGTTGCATAAAAGGCACTCTTTTGCGCGGACTTTCGCCTAATCTCATTTGAATTTTTTCGACTTTTCTTTTTTTACGCGGCTTATATATCTATTTGAAAGCTGATCTACGTGACTGGCATTCCAAATAGCATGCTTCGCAGCCATGCGTTTCAATGCAAATTTTTACGAGGATTCGCCAAGTCATTTTCTTTCAAGTCTTTAGACAGCTCTTTATCCCTGTAATTCCTCAAAAGTAAATTTCAAGCTAAGACTTCGTTTGATGCTCCGATCGGGCAGCGTTTCAAACCCGAGAATTTTTCGTAAGAATGACGTTGAACAGTAGATTTTTTTTACCATCACCCGCCAACCCCATCATGTCAAGCGTAAAGTATTTTTGCCGACTATACGAAAGCATCAGTGCACGTCTCTCGGCAAGATTCAGTATAGCAAATCTCGTTAAACTGCAAGCAAGTTGAGCCCCGTCAAAAAGAGGATGCGTATAGCGAGGACACGGAGAAAGCGCCAAGCGAACGAAAGACATAAAGGCAGTGGCGGCAGCTGTCGTTCTCTCGCACACACGAGATTTCGGCGGCGGCGGTGGCGGCGGGCGTTCGGTGGTAGCAAGGTAAGGCATATACGTGACACGCTTGGCAAGCTAATACAACGGCGGTGTACGCTACTGGTGGGAGCTGCTTTGTTAAGCTCTCTCTCGGATTCTGAGTGCCTTTGATACGTGTACTTGCACGCTAACCAACCAACCTAAGCTATTCGTAGCGTGTATAATAGCGAGGTGTACGTATACCAAGTCGATACTCACGCATTTTCGCTTGCACGCACAGCGCACTTTCAATTCAATTTTGTCAAGGCTAATTTTGATGGCGCTGCTTCCAACTTCAAGGCACACGCATCCCTCTCCTCCTCGTCCTAGTCGTCGTCGTTGTCGTCGTTTGCCTAACGCTGGTTGGCCCGTCGCCTGGCTTTCAAATCCAGTTTCGCCCGATACGCCGCTCGCGCGAGGGATGATACGCGACGAGTAATTGGCGACGATTGCCACGACCACCCGTCGCGTTGGAGGGAAGAAAGCGATATACTACCGAGTAATGGCAATCATGCCAGATGTCTTCGCGATCATTACAAATATGTTTAGAGGATGTCTGACAGTAAGCTTCTGGGATTTGACCACACGACGACTTACAATTTGTCCCACATTTTCACTGAAAAATAAACTGTTTTTCCTGACAAATTGTCAAATGATATTTGTCTATTGGTAACACATACGCTTGCAAATGTAATAATCAAATTATCACGTTATAATTTTATTCAAAATGTAGCAATGATTAGCATATATAGGAGAAACATCGAGGAGTACGATCTATCGCTTTATTGTACGAAGTTTTCAATCAATTAATTGTTACTTCCACAGTTTCAAGTAAAATAATTACCACTTTAATATTTTATTTGTTCAATATAATTGGTGTTTAAATGTAGATAGATATGTTTGTTTTACAGCGTATAAAAAAATAAGGACCCTCATAACAGGTTTCGTACTTATGTTTGACATGGAGTGAGATTAATTTTTTATAGATAGTTTTTTAGTATATTTTATTATATCTTATCGTTTATTATTATGGCTCATTAAGTTGAGATGTTTTTAAATATTTAATCGTTATCACTAGTCGGTCATACCAATTAATACTTGATTTATGATGGATGTGATGCACTATATTTATAAAAGTCTTTGTAATAAGATAAAGTTCAATTTAATAGAAGATTTGTTTGTTCCAGCAATGTGCACAAAACAGTTGAGAATTCTTGGTATGATTCAGATCATTACTCCATGCTATTAATTAATTCAGCACCGAAGTGTATATAAAAATTATACAAATTTTATTTGCATAAGAAAGATGTAGTTCAACGTACTTGTATGCGCGCTAAAAAAATTACCGTATAATAGCTCAATCTACCCGTAAACCGCTCTCAAAAAAGAATCTTTCTTATAGAACCTCAAATTTTCAAGTACATTACACAATCCATACAAGAGTACACATATCCGCTTTTGAGATAAAGGTCGGCGGCTGCTTTTGGATTTAGATCCTCGATATCGCGATCGCGACATCACACGTATGAGCGATAAGGGTCGCGCGCGCGCGGTTAAAAAAGAAGGAGAGCTAAAAACCCTCGAGCCAAATGTGCAACTAAGTACCTACTTAAGCCACCGAGGGGCCCCGCCATACATACACTTAGCTACGTCTATATGCTTACTGCATTTGAATGGGAGATTTATCCGGTTGGATTTTCATCTCGGATTGAGTCATTGTATGCTTTACGGCCACCTGACGCCTCTTACTCTCGACTCGACGCATTTGCTTCTTTTTGTAATTATTGGCTTTTAACCATAGGCTTCTACACGTATCAGGGGAGGATTTGTTTATTCGGAGAATCAAGGCCATTGTTTGGTCTACTTGTCCGATAAAAAACAAAAGAAAAGGTGAGAAGAATCATCGAAACTCACGCTATAACATTAGTCCTCGGCAAAGAAAGGATTTAGAACAAGGAGCGTTTGGCGCACATGCACGGGATCGACAGCCGCTCGCGAGAAAGAAAGAGGGAGGAGGCATCTCGCAGAGACTGGCAAAGGCTAAGAAATAAGAGTGCGCACGCGTGCGAGAGAGCGTGAGTATTGTCATTATTATATACCCTCGAAGAAAGCTAAAATTAGCCTGCGGACAATGGGTCGCGTGCGCAGCAGCCTGTTTATTTTCGACTCTTTTCAATTAGATCCGCACATATAGCGCGCACGCGTCCAAGTGGCAAGGACTTTTTCTTTCTTTTTCTTTTTTTCTTCGTTCTGTTCCGCGTCAAGTCCAAATTGTCTGCGTTTTTCGCCTATGCGTTTTGTGCGGTATCTAGTGACTATTATTGTGTCTACACGTCTGTGCGTAACAAAGTTTCGTCGAGAGCGTTGAAAGCCAAATTCCCTTTATAGCAAATAATGAATATCGCGTGAAGCTGTGAAAAAGGCTACGCTGTTTTAGATCTTCAAAAGGAACATCGCGCTTCAGCGTCGATCACACGAATGTCCGCTAACAATTTTCTTGCACCTATTGAATATATCTTTTCGTGCACAAACGCAGCCCACTTTCCGAATCACAGTATTAACTCTAACCTCGAGTATCAGGCACGAACAGCATAGGGAGCTTTTTTATCAATCACGATTCTTTAATGCCTCCCGCTGAGCGACAATTGCAGACAATTGACGTGTGCGACGAGCGATCGAAGAATTTTTATTTTTCGTTCAAAAGACGATACTTTTTACGTTACAACACGCAGCGGATGAGGGTGCGACTCCCTTTTTTCAAGTTGATCCGACACGCGCGCCAACGCCCTACATGGCTATCGAATTATTTTGATTCTTTGATTCTGTGATATAATTCATGGCGCGTTGTTTGCACAAGAGATTAGTGCGCGCAAGAGAGAGAGAGAGAGAGAGAGGGAGAGGGAATCGCGAAATCGGCGTGACGGCACGAGTCGACTTTTCATTTTTCAGTGAGATGTCGAAAGAGACATATGGTCGAGAGAGACGATCGTGTTAAAAGGTGACGACTTTTTTGGGAGAGCCTAACAGGGGGAGGGGAGAATTTTTTATTGGCTCTCTCTTTCTCTTTCTCTCATCTCTTTGACGTCTTACTCGCGTGCTTCATCGTTGAGATTTAGAGCCATTAGTGAGCGCGATGTGCGTGGACGACGACAATTTATATCTGACCGGCTGTGTTTGTTTCGTGAGTGTGTATGTGTGTGTGTGTATACATGTCGAGGGAATGTGGTTGTATAACGCGATTGACTGTGTGACAGAATAGTATAATCATCGGGATAAACCTTGACTTCAAAGAT